CCCAACCCATTCTTTAGAAAACAAAGAATATAGAAAAAAAAAGAAAGAAAGAAATACAGAAAGAAAGAAAGAAAGAAAGAAAGAAAGAAAGAAAGAAAGAAAGAAGGAAAGAAAAAAAGAAAAAAAAGTTTATGTAATTTCTTTGGTTAAAGTTTTGTTTTTGTTTTTAAATGCCAGAGGAAGTGTGCATTTGTCACTATACCCAGCCAGGGCCTGATTTCAAGTTGTGGCTTGCTCTGGGGAAGTCTGGCTCCCTTTAATCACAAGGCCACAGGGATGGCCCTGGTTTAAAGCCTTTTAATGACTTTTCACTGAACCTGGAATAAAATCCAACTCCTTATCCTGGCCTTATAGACCCAGATAATCTGTCCTTGCCCCACTTATGACCAGTCTGTGTCCCTCTATTACTCGCCATGCTCCTGGCCAACTGGCCTTTTGATTGTTAGACTGTACCAAGCTCTTTCCCAGGCCAGCTAGTTGAAATGCTCTTCACAAGTACTTCACTTGACCAGTTTCTTATCCTTCAGGTCACAGTGTAAATATCAGTGTCTCCAAGAAAACTTTCAGGAGTAATGCATATGTTTATTATTCAGATTGTGGTGATGGTAGCACCAATGTATACATTTATCCAAACCTACCAAATTATGTACATTAATTATGTGCAGGGTGCGTAGCTTTTTTTTTTTTAATTTTTAAAACAGGATCTTGTTTTGACATGATCCTCTTGCCTCAGCCTCCTGAGTAGTTGGGACCATAAGCATGTGCCACCATGACCATCACTTTGAGATAGAATCTCTCCTCTAACCTCAGCCTCCTTAATAGCTAGGGTCACATCACCACTCTTGGGTTTTAGGGTGGGGTGGGAATCAAACTCAAGCCTCCTGTGTGGCCACAGCCTACAGCAACAGCCAGTGCACATTTCCATGGCAGAATCATAACTGTAGCTTTTTTTTTTAATATATGTATATATATACCAATTATACCTCAACAAAACCGGGGAAAAAAAGAGGACTGAATTTGGAAAAAAAACAAAAAAAATTAGTGCCTCAGAGAGACCTTCCATGATGATTCTAAAGGAATTATTGCTGCTTAATCAAGGTTTCCTATTGTTTTCTTTTTTAAATATAATTATTTTATTGAACTTAAAAATTTATTTATTAATTTTAATTTGACCAGAGAGACACAGAGAGAGAGAGAGAGGGAAAGTGAGAAGGCAAATCACCAGGTCTAGGATTTGAACTGTGTTTGGCCATGTGGGAATCCAATGCCCTTAACCACCATGCCACCTGCTGGCACCCTATTATTTTCTTTATAGCTCTTATCACAATTTGTAGTTACATTTTTCTGTTGTTTACTGTAGAATCCTGGCCCTTAGTACAGTGGCAAGTACATAGTAAGCATACAGATGCCCCACATTCTTATGTCAAGTTCCCTATAAAACAGACACTGGGGTGATTCTATCTGAGGCATTTACTGGGGAGTACTCTTGGAATAGCACCTGTGAGGGAACAAAAGAAAGAGCAGGACTGGGCAGACAGAGAAGCTGAACTGTGAGGCAGATGCAACCAAGGCCTCAGCAGATTCCATAAGGAGCTCTGTGGCTGGGACGGCCCTCCAGAGTTTCTGAAGATCCTGTTGGGAGCTCCTGTCCCTCCTTGCCTCCCTTTTATGGAAATAAATAGGTAAATAAACTTGAAAAAAATCTGAACTTTATTCTTACCGTATAATGCAGATGGCATAATGGTTATGTTGCTAGATTCCCACATAGTTGATCGTAGTTTGAGTCCTGAACCTGGTAGCTTAAAACTCATGCTGAGTCTGTGTATGCGTGTTCCCAAAATCCCGAGAGAATAGACAAGAAGGGATTGCTATGTGGCCATACTCCCGAGGAGTGATTTCTGTCTCTCTGGTGAGTTCTTGTGTCCTATAGCAAAAATATCTCTTTTAAAAAACAAAACTAACAAATTTATAATGGTAATATTGAAAGAATAGTACACATCACTAGCTCTAGCATTCAGATTTTTTAAAAAATGACTTCATCATTTTTCTTCTTAATCATTTAGTTGTTCTATAGGATGAGTGAATTGATCACTGCTTCCATTGGCTATATACATATTGTAACAAAGTAAGTCTAAGTGTTTTTTATAAAAGAGTTTATTTTATTTGTTATTAATATTATTATTATTCAACTTGTTATAGTCATCAGAGAGAGAGAGAGAGAGAGAGGGAAAGTGAGAAAGCAAGCTACTGGGTCCAGGCTGTGGGAAGCCACCCACATTAAAATGGCTGCCATGTACTTCACTCAACAAAATGGCCACTATGACCTTCATACATACTCCAGAAACAGACAACTTCCTGGTTCAGACAAAACTGACAGGTCCTCAATTAGGTCCGCTGTAAACCCCGCCTACTTCCTTCTGCCTTGTGTATATAAGAAAGCTCCCTGGCCCTCAATAAATGAGCGAAACCTTCATATCATCAAGAGTTGTGACACTGTGTGAGCTGTGACACTTCTTTTGCTCCCGTCAATGTGGGAGTCCAGTGTGCCAACTACCATGCCACCTGCTGGTCCCAGGAAGTTTTGTTGCAACTTTTTTCCTTCTTTTCTTTTCTTTCTTTCTTTTGTTTTCTTTCTTTTTAAGTTTTGCTACAGGGTGTGTGTGCTCGCCAGAGTGAGAGAGAGAGGAAAAGTAATTAATTACTCCCCAGGGTGGAAGGCCATGCCACAGTTTGTTCTCCTCCATTCTCCTCTTGGGATTTTGGGCACTCATGCATACATGCCTAGTGTGTTTTTCAAGCTGCTGGGTCCTGGACTTGAACTGCCCAGTCAGATATGTGGGATCAGTACACTGTCTACTGGTATAACTTTAAATCAGGCCTTCATACTTTATAGTCTCAGGTCTGTTTGAGCTGTGAAAGAGCTGTGAAATTCACCTGTCTTATTTTATTTAATGCTGCTATAATAGAATACCAGAGTCTGATTAACATAAAGGAAAGAAATTTATTTTTCACAGTTCTGATGGCTGGGAAGTCCAATATCGAGGGCTGGCATCTGGCTAAGGCATTCTTGCTATATCATCCAGGGTGAAACATGGGAAGGTGAGAGATGAGAGGGAGAGAGAGCGAGTGCACAAGAGGGGACCGAACCAGTACTTTTATAACAAATCTATTCCTGAGGCAATGGCATTACTTCTTTGACTTTGCCCTCGTGACCTAATGTTCTCTCCTTAGGCTCCGTCTCCTACAACACTGTTGCATTGGGCATTACATTTCCAACATATGAGTTTTGGGGGGCACATTCAAACCTCCCTCAAATTACTACACTGAGGCCTGTGTCTACCCAACACTCTTAGAAGTACAATATTTTGTGGGGCTGGCAGGTGGCGTGGTAGCTAAAGGTACTGGACTCCCACATGGCCAGCTGCGGTCTAAGTTTCAGATCTGGTGGCTTACTTTTTCACTCTCTCTCTCTCTCTTTCTCTCTCACACTCTTGTCAAATTAAAATAAATAAATAAATAAAGTTAAATAAAATAATTATAATTAAAAAAATTTTAAAAGTACAACATTTTGTGAATGTGTATGTTTTTCCATCAAATTTTATTTACAGAATTTACTGTAAGCAACATTAACTGTTTTTTTAAAATTTTTTCAGCTATTTAATACATAAATTATAATGTAAAATAATTTTTTTGTAATTGTCAGAGGGTACACGCACTCACTAAAGAGAAACAGAAAGAGAGGGAGAGAGAGAGAAGAGGAACGTACCCTCTTCACTAGAGCATGGTCACATTGAAATCTCTTCTCTATGTTTCCATCCTGCTGGGATTTTGGGCATGCATTCACATGCACCTGGCATATTTTCCAAGTGACTGAGGCTGAGATTTAAACAGCAGTTGACCATGTGGGATCTAGCTCCATTAACCATGAGGCAATAGGACTGGCCCATAATGTAAAAAAGTTTTTTATTAAAGTTTATATCATTAAGCCTTGGGACTAACAGGTGGCATAATAGTTATGTCGCTGGACCCCCACATAGTTCACCACAGTTCGAGTCCTAGACCTAAGGCTTAAAACTCATGTCAGGTGGGGGGATGGCAGGTGATGTAGTGGTTAAGCCACTGGACTCCCACATGGTCAACCACGGTTCAAATCTTGGACTTGGTGGCTTGCTTTCTCACTTTCTCTCTCTCTCTCTCTCTCTCTCTCTCTGTTGCTCTGTGGTCAAATTGAAAATAAAAATAATAATAATAAAGATGATGAATAAAATTAAATAAAATTCTTTAAAAAAACAACAACAAACTCATGCCAGATGGCTGTGTGTGCATGCCCAAAATCCTGAGAAGAGAATGGAGGAGAAGGGATTGCAGCATGGCCATTCCCCCGGGGGTGGGGGGAGTAAGTACTCACTTTCTGTCTCTCTGGTGAGTACACGTGCTCTATAACAAAAATCCCTTTAAAGAAAAAAAAAAAGTTGATATCATTAACCTATAGAAATCATTTGTGATACAAGTGTTTGAGATTGAGAGATCTGATTTTAGTTTTTGTTCTGCTGTTGAGCTAGTGGTGCAGATTTGGGAAAATCAAGGTTGTCCATTTTTAAGTTATTCAGGGACAATTAAGGAGCTTTAGTACATTTATATGGATCATAATTTATTTTTCCTTTTAGGAATCTGACTTTCTTTGTCTTCTTGGAGTAAGCTACACATTTGAAAATGAAGACAGTGAGTTAAACAGTGATAATGGTGAACATATATATCCATATGAAGAAGATAGAGACCAAAAATCTAATTTTCAAATAGAATCTGGATTTTATAAAATTTCTGAAAGTACTTTGTTTGAAGACCAATTTCCAGCATTAGAAATCTTGGAAGATGTCGGAAGCACCAGTGAATCAAAAGACTGGGAAGAAACAGAAGCTGAAAATGTGGAACAGGAGCATGTGTCAGAAGAACATCATGTCCCACCATCCTCAAATGCGCCTGAAGTAAAAGGATGGTTTGGATTAGGACAAAAACAAGTTGAAGAGAAGGATTTTGAATCAATTATCGAGCCTGTACAGGAGAGCTCATTTCAAAGTACAAAAATAGCAGTGGAAGATCAGAATCACATAGAGGAATTAAATAATGGTGAACTCCAAACAGAACCTGAATCAGAATTTGATTCATTGCCAGTGAAACATTCTGAAGTAGCATCAGAGCAAATTCTCAAGTCTCAAGACACTGGTTGGTTTGGTGGTGGATTTACAAGTTATTTAGGTTTTGTAGATGAGGATACGGGACTTGAATTATTGTCCAAAGAAAACAATCCATCACTACAAGATGATCCCAACTCCATATCACCTGATGAAGAAGCCACAGTTCCATGTGCAGAAGTATTAACGGAAAATGAAGACACAGTTGCTAAAAATAGCTCAATTCTCAGTCCAAGTTGGTTCGATTTTGGTTTTGGTATGTTAGGCTTTGCATATGCCAATGAAGATAAAACTACATCAGGTGATGGAGAAAATGAAGATAATGGAGGAGATAAACATGAACCTTCTCCAGTCAGTGAATTTGAACCTGATAAGAAAAAAGAAATAAAAATTATGGACACAGAAGACCAAATAGACAAGAAGAATGATTTAGAGAAAACAGATGATTCTGATATGTTACCATATTTTAAAAAATTCTTGTATAATTTCGACAACCCTTGGAGCTCCCAGAACATTCCAAAGGAAACAGAATTGCCATTTCCCAAACAAATTCTGGATCAAAATAATGTAGCTGAAAATGATGAAACAGAAGACTTTTCAGATGAAAATGATCTCATAGATGATATGAAAGTCTTGACATTGAAAAGTGGATACAGTCAATCAGGTTGGTATGAAAATATCTGCAACATACCTTATTTTATTTTAATTTTAACATAACTTAAGTTTATGAGTACAAAGATTTAAAAAGACTAATATTTCATGATTCTTAAAATACTTAATAATCAATAAAATGACTCTTTTGTCAATTTCTGGTTTACTATTGAACTTAGATCTTAATATATAATACTAAATATCAAGGGAAAAAGAATGACTGGAGATGTATTGATGTTCCAAGAAGATCTTAAGGCATTTTAGAATTAATTTTAATCTAGTATATATAATAGCTTTAAATTTTAAAAAAATAATAATAATTATTATTTTCTTTGGAGAGGTTTTTGCTATAGGATGTGTGCACTCGCCAGAAAGACAGAGAGACAGAGAGACAGAAAGCGAGAAATCACCTCCGGGGGGGTGGCCACGCAGCAATCCCTTCTCCTCCATTCTCCTCTCAGGATTTTGGGCACTCATGCACATGCGCCCGGCGTGAGTTTAAGCCACTGGGTCCGGGACTCGAACCGCGGCCGACTACATGGGAGTCCAGCGACATAGCTATTATGCCAACTGCTGGTTCCAAAATAATTATTTTATTTAACTTTATTTATTTACTTATTTTTTAATTTGACCAGAGAGAGACAGAGAGAGAAAGAGAGAGAGGTAAAGTAAGAAAGCAAGATGCCAGGTCCAGGACTCGAACCATGGTTGGCCACACGGAAGTCCAGCACCCCTAACCACCATACCACCAGCCGGCCCCTAACTTTTTTTTTTTTTTTGAGATATTTTTGCTATAGGGCACGTGTGCTTGCTGGAGAGACAAAGAGAGACAGAAAGACAGAAAGCTAGAAATAACGCCCCAGGGAGGATGGCCATGCCGAAATCCCTTCCCCTCCATTCTGCTCTTGGGATTTCGGGCATGCACGCACACGTGCTGGTGTGAGTTTCAAGCTGATGGGTCTGGGACTTGAACTGCAGTCAGCCATGTGGGAGTCCAGCTACGTAATCATTATGCCATCTGCTGATCCCAATAGGTTTAAAATTTAAATATTGCTAAGGCTTTTTAAAATAATTATTTATTTAATTTTTCAATTTATTCATTCATTTATTTTAATTTGACCAGAGAGAGACAGAGAGAGAGAAAGAGTGAGAAAGCAAGCTGTCAGGTCTAGGACTCAAACCATGGTCAGCCATATGGGAGTGTCCAGCACTTTAACCACCATACCACCTGCTGGTCCCAAGGCTTTTTTTTTTTCAATTCAAATAAAAGCAATTTCTATTCCCTCTGTCTACTCCTTCCTCTACTCTCACCTCTGTTCCAGGAACAAAAATTTCCCCCATTTTTTTTTTTCTGAATGGCACACGTATTTGCCAGAGAGACAGAAAGAGAGCAAGGGGAAAAAGCATTCACCATGAGGAATTGTCATGCTACAATTTCTTTTCCTTCATCTGTTCATCCTTTTGGGATTTTGGACACTCACATACATATGTGTCCAGTTTTTTTCTCAAGTTGATAGGTCTGGGACTCTGATTGGCCACATAGATATAGCTGTCTTAACCACCAGGCCATGGAGAAAATATGTTAAGGGGAACTTCAATAATTCAAAATAATGGGACCAGCAGTTAGTGTAATGACTATGTTGCTGGACTCCCATGTAGTCGACGACCGCAGTTCAAGTCCCAGACATGGTAGCTTAAACTTACACTGGGCGCGTGTGCATGCGTGCCCAAGATCCCGAGAGGAGAATGGAGGAGAAGGGATTGCGGCATGGCCATCCCTACTGGGGGTGATTTCTCGCTTTCTGTCTCTCTGTCTCTCTCTGTCTTTCTGGCAAGCACATGCACCCTATAGCAAAAACCTCTCCCCCCCAAAAATAATAATAATTAAAAATAATATTGATTCTTAAGTTTATTCTTTCTCTCTGTCTCTGTCTTTCTGGCAAGCACATGCACCCTATAGGAAAAACCTCTCCAAAAAAATAATAATAATTAAAAATAATCTTGATTCTTAAGTTTATTCTGGGTCTGTGGTTTTGCTTTGCTTTGTTTTTCTTAGGGAGAGCTATGGTAACAAGGTTTTCTTTAAGTATATAAGGTAATAAGAAAACTCAAGCAAAAATAAGGTAAAAAGTTTTGGATCTTCTGCCTCAAGTCTCTCAATTCTGGGAATTAAACAGAAGGCAACAGAGAGAGCAGAGTACAATAGGATACTTTTAGATCTAGATGTCAGGAATCTTACAATTCCTCTGATTAAAAACACATCAAGGGACCAGCAGATGGTGTAATAGTTACGTTGATGGACTCCCACATAGTCAACCACAGTTCGAGTCCCAGACCCTGTGGCTTTAAACTCATGCTGGGTTGGGACTGGCAGATGGCACATTTGTTGAGGTGTTGGACTTCTATGTGGCCGACTGTGGTTTGAGTCCTGGACCTGGTGGCTTGCTTTCTCACTTTCCCTCTCTCTCCCTGTCTCTTTCTGGTCAAGTTAAAATAAATGATTAAATTAAATTAAATAATTCTTTAAAACAAAACAAACGACTCATGCTGGGTGCATATATGCACCAAAATCTCAAGAGGAGACTGGAGGAGAAGGGATTGCGGTGCCATCTTCCCTGGGTTGGGGGGGATTTCTCACATTCTGTCTCTGCCTCTCTCCATCTCTCCAGCAAGTGCACATGCCCCATAGCAAAAATCTCTCTCTAAACAAAACAAAACATGGATTGTATTTTAAGTAACAAATTACATAACTCAATTTTCCAGCATCTTCATTCTGATGTCTCTGTGATGGACATATAAGAAACTGCAAATATTGACCAATAATACAGAAATAATTGAACCCTAGAATGACAGAAAAGCTTTCAGAGAAGAAGTCAATAATGTCACAAACTCAGAAGAAAACACATTCCCATTAGAACCAGGTGTTTTTGTGTTTTTTTTTTTTTTTTTTTTTTTTTTTTATGGCTAAAGCACATGTATTTGCAGGGAGGGTAGGGGTGGGCTGGAATTGAGAAAGCACCCTTCAGGGGAGATGACCATGTTACAGCCCCTTGTCCTATATTATTTTCCTGGGATTTGGGCACACAAATATGTGCACAATTTAATTGCATTTCAAGCTACCAGTCCAAGACTCCAAAGCAGTTGGCTATGTGAGATTTAGCCACTTTAACCACCAGAATACCAACTGACCCTGTAATGTAAATGTAAACTGAATAATTCACTTACTACTTTTTAATATTGCTTTTCAGCACTACACTAATGCACTCACACACACACACACACACACATACATATATTCACATATATGTGTGTGTGGGTTCCTTCCTTCCTTCCTTCCTTTTCCTCTTTTTCTTTCTTTCTTTCTTTCTTTCTTTCTTTCTTTCTTTCTTTCTTTCTTTCTTTCTTTCTTTCTTTCTTTCTTTCTTTCTTTCTTTCCATTTCTTTCCTTTTCTTTTCTTTCTTCCTTCCTTCCTTCCTTCCTTCCTTCCTTCCTTCCTTCCTTCCTTCCTTCCTTTCTTTCTTTCTTTCTTTCTTTCTTTCCGTTTCTTTCCTTTTCTTTCCTTTTTTCTCTTTCTTTCAATTTGCTAGAGGGCATGTGCACTCTCCAGAGAGAGAAAGAGATAGAGGGAGAACCGCCTCCATGGGGTGTGGTCATATCACAATCCCTTCTCTGTGTCTACATCCCTCAGGATTTGGAGCATGCATACAAATGTGCCCAACATATTTTTCAAGCTGCTCGGTTCAGGATTTAAACCATCCAGCCAGACAATGGGGATCCAGCTCCATTAATCACTAGATCACAGGGCAATGTTCAAACTCAGCAGTATGGAGGCTTCTAATCTCTTTCTCTCTCACTTACTCTGACCCTCTGTCTTCCTCTTATAAGGAATCTTATGATAATTATTGTTCCTACAGGATAACCTCTCCATTTCTGGATCCTTAATCACATCTGCAAGGTCATTTTTATCATGCAAAATAACATATTCATAGACTCTGGTAGTTAAGGCATGAACGTCTTTGAGAGATCTTTATTCAGCCTACTATTTGGTCTCTCCTTTATTCGTTGGCTAGAGAAGAACTACAAAAACTATACAATTCTAGGAGTCAGCAGGTAGCATATTGGTTCAAGTGCTGGATTCCTATGAGGTTGACTGTGGTTTGAGTCCCAGACTCAATAATTTAAAACCGAGTGCATGTGTGGCGTGCCCAAATCCCAGGTTCATGTACCTATTATCTGAACAGAATCCTAACCTGTTTCATGGCTTTAAGTCTTAAGTAAAGTTCTCTTAACAATTTTATGATTTTGATTTATTGAAGCTAAAAATTGCCTTTCTTAAAATTAAAAAAATATATTAAAAGTATCTATTTAATGGCCACAGTAAGCTATATAGCCTCAGCTAGGTGCTACTTTATATATTCACTCTACTCAAAAAGTTTCATGCCTAAAGTCGAACATGTGTTCACAGATGTGTACATATCAGTTGAACTTGCTATTGAAAGTAGTTAATTAAGATGTTTTGTGAATCAGTAAAATGTGGGGGAAAAAGGGAATGGAAAACAACTGAAATATCAGAGATAGTGTGGGAGGAGGGGGGAAATGGCAGAGGGTGAGAAATAGGGGGAACATGGGGAACCAGCAGTTAGCATAATGGCTATGTCGCTGGACTCCCATGTAGCTGACCACATTTCAAGTCCTGGATCCGGTGGCTTAAACTCACGCCGGGCGCGTGTGCGTGCGTGCCCAAGATCCTGAGAGGAGAATGGAGGAGAAGGGATTGCGGCGTGGCCATCCCCCCTGGGGGGTGATTTCTTGCTTTCTGTCTCTCTGTCTTTCTGGCGAGCACACGTGCCCTATA